AAATGTACTGCCTCCTGTCAACATTGTATACTTCTATTTGATGATTTCTGTGTCAAACATTATATGGAAATGTTTCCAAGTATTTTCTGTATTAACTGTGAATGAATAGAACAAAATAAATTGCCTGTGATGGAAAAAATTAAAAAAAAATACACTGTTTATATGTATGAAATTGTCAAAGAATAAAAATGTTTTTAAAATAACTAAGACTCAAAAACAACATAAATTTTAAAAATTTAAATTAAAAAAACACACAATGCTTTGTTTTCTGCTAGAAATACAAAATCATAGTAAATGAATAAAATTTTAAAAACTCACTGTCTTCGTGTCTTGGGAAGAAATCCTACCATCTCCATGGCCAATTGTAATCGTTCAAAATCATGCCTCAAATCTTCTCCCTCCACTGTGAAGCAATCCTGCTTAAGACAAGAGGTGGGAGAAAACATATAATGATTACCTGTTAAAAAACAATGTGAGCCATTCATTAATTTAAGTAGGCCCCTGTGTAAATGATTATTTTAGTAGAATATTTACACATCGTCAGACTCATTAAGCCTCTTATCTGAGTCCAGATAAGCAAAGTAAACAAATCTACCAAATATTAATAGTACCTTTTTTTATTCCCTAAACAATCACCAGAACACAGGATCTTAAAATGGATAAGGCTGAGAGCTAGCAGCATTTATAAAATATGTGGCTACCAAGTTTGATTTTCAGTAGCATTAAAGAGTTTTAGAGATTTAAACCACATAAGAGCACTCAAATCCATAAGTAGATGTTAATTTATTCAACAAATTTTTAACAAGTGTCTATCACATGTAAGGCCTTGAATTAAAAACATACACAGATACAAAAAATAATAACAGTATGCAGGTGAGAAATGAAATCTACATTTATGTATCATGAAACACCTGGTATTATAGTGGGTGTATAAAGAAAAGATAAGAGTAGCAGAAACAAATAAATACACACATCACAGCAATCAACCAAGGGGGGAAAAAGGATTATGTCAAAATAGAAAACCCCTCAAAAAATACATGTCACATGAATCAAAAGTAGTTACTGAAGGGCTAGAAAGATCCTTAAGTACTTAGAATACTTGCTGCTCTTCAAGAACACCCAAGTTAGTTCCTAGCACTGACATCAGGTGTCAAACAATCACTTATCACCCAGCTCCAAGGTATCTAGTGTCCCCTTCCGGCCTTCTTGGGCACAGACACACATTTTGCATACACACACAGAGAGGAGAGAAAGAGGAGAGAGAGAGGAGAGAGAGAGGAGAGAGAGAGGGGAGAGAGAGAGAGAGAGAGAGAGAGAGAGAGAGAGAGAGAGAGAGAGAGAGAGAATAAACATTTTTTAGTTGTTGAGGGATGGCAAAATATTTCAGTGGGAAAAGCACCTATTGTTTCAGCCTGACAAAGCTGATTCAATCCCCAGAAACTACATGAAAGTAGAAAAAAAGAAATGATATTTCCAAGAGGTTGTCCTCTAACCCCACACATATGCCTGACATATTTGTGGAGTGCATGCTACTCTTGTAGATGACTGGAGTTCAGTTCCCAGCACTCACATTGAACAGCTCACAACTGACGCTAACTCCAGATCCAGGAAATCTTCCAACTTTAGCAAGTATTCACATGCACATGCACAAACAGGAAGACACACATACACATAACTAAAATTAAATACATTTCATAAATATTTAAAAATAATATATATTTATTTTTAGTCTAGACATGGTAGCATATGCCTATATTCCCAAAACTCCAGATGCAGAGGCAGGGGAATCAGAAACTCTATGCCACCCTGGACTGCAGAGCAAGATCCCATTTCAAAAAAATATCAAACAAAACAACTTACCAATAAATTTTTTTTTAGTGTAACCTTTACATTTCAGTTCACAAAATGGTCAACACTAACATCTAACTAATATACACAATCCCTTTACAATGTTCACACACCACTTTATAGTGAGATTGTCAAAAATATCTCAAATTTCAACTTATTTTTAATGTCTATCTTCCTAGGGAACGTTACATTAATTAATCAATGGACAAAAAGAACTGATCTGTTTTATTCACCACAAATCACAAGCATCAAGTCAGTGCCAAGATCAAATTACTGAAGGAACTGTGAAGAAAAAAAGGGTTGAAAATAAAAACAGAAACTGCCAAACAATCAGACCCCGACTACATGGAACCTGATTCTAGTAGCCCCACAATGTCTAATGAAAACATTTAGAGTCTAACTCCTAATAATCGATGCCACCTTACCACAAATAGCCAATCTGAAGATAATAAATGTATAAAATTTACTATTTAGCAAAGTAGTGATTTATTTGTCTATCTAACATATGGAAACTACAATCTCAGAGGACAGTTATTTTGCAGAGACTGTCTCTTACAGCAATGTCAATTTCCTGAATAAATAAATCTTTTCTGCATCTGTTCTGGTCTACAAATACTTTCACTCCCACAACTTCTGAATTACACAATTGCTGAATTACAT